TAATTTTTGCAGATACTTTGGGCTCTTAATCCACAACCCCCAACACCACAGACCCATATGCAGCCTTCTGCTTAGCAGAGTTGCTGAGCTTCATAAAAACAGATAAAAGTGACAGGTGCTGAAGCAATGACAACAAAACAGTGGAGTTGTGTGTCAGGAACAGGAAATTTTTAGCTGCATAATGGCATAGCAACCAGCACCCAGACTACCAAAGCATCCAGGAGATAGTGGGAGAAATGTTTGACTCTTTAGATCTGGAGATAACCAAGTTACCTGAGAAGACTTGCTGTTTTTTCAGTACCATTGATTTGAAACACAGAAGCGGTATCATTTTGGGAATCGCTGAAGGGCTCCTCAGAACTTCAGAAGAGGGCTAGTTATCCACAGCTACAACTCCTGCTGTGTCCAGAGAAGCTGATCAGCTATTTCAAGTGCAAGAGCAGGGCTTTGAATTCCTCCCAACCCCCCCCATATTGGGTTCATTATTTATATCCGCTGCAGTAGATAGATCAAAAGACTAGTTAGTTCATCTCCATCAGATAAACATGAGCTAAACTGACGACATGGAACATATTGTATACTTCTTAATCAGGTTGGCAGTCAGAATAGTCCGCTAACAGACAATTATGTCCCCATAGCAATTCCATCTTAAGGATTGTCTGCTGCTTGTACTTGAACACCCACCTATTAAAAAGGCAATTCAAGAGGACCGAGCAGTTGGAGGTTGAAGGTCAAAGTGTGTCTCAGTGATACTGTCCAGGTTTGCACAGGAAGCCTGTGGCAGAGCTGAAATGACTCCTGGTGCTGCATTAACCACACGGCCGTTCCTCCTCCTTGTGAGTGAAGAGCCAGTAGAGTTGTTTGAGGATGGGGTCAAGTGGATGTGCTGCTTGTATGTGTGAAAAACTGAGCAGCAGCGTTTTGCACTGACTGGTGTCTGAGGAGCAGGAGGATTTGGGGAAAGTAAAGCGGAGAGGTGCAGAAGCCCAGGCAGGAGGGGAGGAAAGCGTGAGTGAGGAGTTCAGTAGTGAAGTTGACTCATTGGTGAGAGCCAAATTTACACACGAGCCATGAAGGAAAGTGAGAGTAGAGGATGACTGATTTTACAGACAGGGAATTTGAAATTGTATTTGTTATAATTGTTCATTAGATTATTTAACTGTTTTTAATTCTAGGGTTGTGGTATTGGAGAGTAGGCCAACAGATCATCCTATGGCCAACAGCAATTTATACATCCTGGCAGGGCACGAAAACAGTTACTGAGAATCATACCTGGCAGTTAACCATGACGAGAAAACACTACTGCTGCAACATTGATGGATGATTGAAATTGCACAAAAACGGCAGTCACCTGACTTCAGTTACTTTGTAATTTATTGTGGCATGAGAGAAAAGAGGATAATTTAGTTTAAGTGGTATGGACACACTTAGCATATTATACCACGGAAGTGCTTAATAATTCACTGTTATGTAATCTTTGTACATATATGCAGTATTTTTCAGTGAAACACATTGCTGAAGACCTACACTGACTTAATGTAGATAGTGATCCTTCAGTTATGTACAAGTGTCTTACCTGTACAGATGTAAAGGTTGCTGAGGAAGCAGAAATTCAGTTGGGGTACTATTTTAAGGACTTCTCACGTGTAGTTCTTATAAAATGGGATGTTAGCAATGAACACAGTGCATTTAACATCACTATTGTATTTTATTATATGTAATTTACTAATACAAATAAATCAACTTTTAGAAATTGTAACCAAGGCTGTAATCCTATTACAATCTTGTTTTTAATTTTCATGCAACTACACTGGTGTGATTGTTTGTTTTGCACAAAGTATTTATCTGTGATGTATTTAGTCACAAAGGTAAGCTGTGACTTTGTGGATATGACTTGGGCGTCAGAGTACCTTTTTTTTAGTTTATTTGGGTAGTTTTATTGTGAAACAAACCAATTAAACACCTGTATTTTTATATTTAAGTAAAATTCTGTAAAGATTACTTCTCTATGCTTGACAACAATATCTTCTGGAATGGATATGAATCCCAGAATTTGGTACCTTAATGGAACACTGCAATAGTTGTCTGAATTACTAGTGTAGGCAATGGTAAAATTAGCATTATTATAAGTCTTCACTAAATGGTTTTATTCGTATCATGAACTACAACATTCCACACTGTGGAAATGGTTCAAAGATCTTGTCATGTTTTGACTTTTTTTGGCCTTATGACCATTTTCTTGATTTAGGGTGTTAACACATGGCCAAAATAATTTAGTTACTACCTCATACAAACAATGTAGTGGTTACTTCATATTGCAGGAACATAGTTCTGATCAACCTTATTTTTGATTGCTATTTTCCAATGGAGTATGTAAATGCCAAGTTTTAGCAAAGTGCACACATTTGGCTCTGTTTTGTATATGTTCTTTATATTTTATTATGATAATATACACTAAGAACAAACTAAATTTAAAGTGATTTATGGTCTAAGTTATTGTGATTGGTAATGCTTTTGAATATGTTCCCTTATGTATATAATGTAAAATAAACTTTTTTTAACATGTTGTTGTACAGATAGCTTACCACCTGCACTAATTTCCACATAAGACTAAAAAATTGCTGATGGAAAACATCCATTTTTGAATTGCTATTAAATGTTTATGTACCCTAATATATAAACTGGGCATTCTGAATGTATGAATGGTCAGGCTGCTAGGAATGTAATTGTGCCTACATTTGACCTAACACCTGGATTTTGTGGGATACGTATCTTCACAGAATCATTGAATCCTAGAAATGTAGGTCTGGAAGGAACTTTGAGATGTCAAGTCCAGCCCTTTGTGCTGAGGCAGGACCAAGTATACCTCCTTAGACCATCCCTGGCAGGGATTTGCCCAGTCTTTACTTAAAATCTTCCAATGATGAGGATTCCATTGGAGGTTTTTAAGAACACGTTGGACAAACACCTGTCAGGGATAGTCTAGGTTTATCTGGTCCTGCCTCACTGCATGGGGCTGGACTTGATTTCTCAAGGTCCCTTCCTGCCCCACATTTCTCTGATTCTGTAAAGATCAATACATTATATCATTTAAATATTTATCAATAATATACTCAACTATATATCAATACATATTACTTCCATGATCTACTCAAACAAGCCTCCAGGACTTTATCTCTAAGGATCAACATGTTAGTTTGAAGTCACTATTTCTTAAACTTCTGTCCACTAGATATACATCAGACAGGTATGTCCACTGGTGACAGAATTCACACTGGCCCTAACATGTCCTTATTCAACCTGTATGGGACAGGCTCTACTACAGAGGAAGATGATATTGGTAAGTGTGTCACACTCTTTCAGGGCTGGTCTAAGACAACTGGTCACTTTACTGGCTGGCCAATAGCTTCCTGGATTCTTCAGGACTTCCCTTCATCCCCTGATTTTCCTAGGGCACATATTTTAGCTTCAGCTAAATTCCTTTGCAGCAAGGGCTGTCTCTGTATGTGGAGCTGAAGTAGGTGCCCTTTTCTGGCTGCAGTTCCTCTGTTGCCTGGGTCGACACTGAGCTTCACCACCGAACAGCATCCTCCCATGCTCCCCTTCAGGGCTAGATGCGGAAAGAGGGAGACCCTCCGCTCCTGATTCCTCTCTGGGACTGGCAAAGAACCATCAGCTTCCTCCTGAGAGCAGCAGAGAAGACAGACAGGCACCCTCTCTGTTCCCTAGCTGTCCAGGGATTCCTGCCTGCTTTCTCACCTCCTTGGTCTAAGGGCAGATTACTGTTAAGAACACGTCTGGAAGGATGAGTGAAGAGGTGTGTCTATGAGATTTGCAGATGGGAGGGGAGTTTAAAAAAAACCTGGTGAAGGATGGAGAGAACACAAATGAGCATAGAGGAAACAGGATGTTGCCAAAATATGCAATAGACTGGGATGGAGATGGGGGATAAAATCAATATGACCATAGAGCGTCATATTATCGGGGTCATTCTGCAGCTCTTACAAATAAATATATGCAAACTGGATTTTTTTTCATAGTAATTAAGGGGGATTGAGCTCTCCCTGCTTCTGGTGGAAGTCATTCCCCTCTGTGGCTAATGCTAACAAAGAGCACTTCATAGCATTTAGAATGCACTAGAATAGGTGCATTAAATACATATTCAAAATTATTCTTCTGGAGGAGAGAGGGAGGATATGCCTGAACTTCTGGGAAAGGCTTCAGTTGATTTCCAGCTATTGCTCAATAATTTGTTGGAGACACAAAAGGCTGCACCCTTTCACTTGTCACTATTCTTTATTCTCTTAGCTCTGGTGAGGATAGTGCTTGGAGGCAGCTAGAAATTTCCCTGCCTTTGTCATTTGTTCTCCAGCACTGCTGCTAATCTCAGGAGGTAAGAATAGGAAAGAGTGAAGGTATGTTTTTTTTTTTAAAGGAATTGGGGAATCTTCCTTTGTTGAAAGTTCTGTCATGCTCTTAAACCAGTATTAGGTCTTGTCTTCACTAGCTCAAAGTATAATTTGAGTTTTGCCTTTAACCTCTTGTCCGCACACAGAAATCTCCAGCTTGAATTAAATGGTGCTTTAAGATCGAGCTAACTAGACTGGGGGTGATGGGGGAGATTTGAAGCTGGAGCATCAGTGATGCTTGAGCTAGTGGGGGACACAGCAGCTGGAGTTACAATTTATCAGATGCTAATCCTACCATTGTAGCCCAAGTGGTTTGTGATGTGGACACTGCTCTCGCTCACCAGGCTAACTTGAGTGGAATAACTCAAGGGTACTAATTTGAGCTAACTGTTGCAGTGAAGATGAGCCCCTAAGTGCATGTGTGAGCCCTTCACATACAGAACATTTCATGCTAATAGGGTTTGGGAAGAGAGAGAACATCTCCCTTTCAAATGAAGCAGGTTCAGACGTATCCATTAGGTTAGGGACTTGCTCGTATTCACTGATCAGCACCTCCCTCTCCCAGCACCTCCAGATCAGCTGTTTCAGGGCATGCAGGAGGCTCTGGGGGGGGAGGGGGAGGAGCAAGGGCATGGCAGGCTCAGGGGAGGGGGCAGGAAGGGGTGGATTGGGG